TTCGAGTATCGTGGGTCAGCGATAGGGTAGTGGTGGATATCGACTGCAAGCCCGGCATAAGCCTATGTACGGAGGACACGAGAGAAAGGGAACGTAAATATTAGAGAGAGTAGTAAAAAGGAGTCCCGGGGGATGAAAACCGTCAGGGGTGAAATAAGAAGAATCTTTAATAAGATTAAAAATAATAAGAATCTTTGGTGTAGCCGAGTTAGGAGCATAGAGGAGTTTCAGTCTCTTGCTGATACAGAGCAACGTAACGTCAACCCCTATATTCAGGCCCAGTCGCAGTCCAGTCGAGTGGACGATGGGGTAGTGGTAAGCGAGGCTGGGCATTCTTAACGCGAGGCTTTTTAATTTCCCGTATTGTTCGGTTTACGTGCTCGTCGTGCCGTAAAGAGGGAAGTTTCTTAATCGAAACTTCCGCGAGTTCGGTTTTTACCATGAACTTTCATCCCCTATCGCAGGGGATGGTTTAGATTCGTTTGAAGCTCATGCCATTTTCATATTAGATGGACTATAGGTATAAACGGTATATACAGGGTCAATATCGTTTGGTAGCCAAACAGTTTCCTTTGGCCCCGTGACGAACGCATTTAACATCCCCCATTGAAAAGTTCGCCATTAGCTAACGATAACTTGAACACCCGCTGTATAGCTCCTAGCAAAGTTGGGACGGTATTCGGTCGGAATGGCTTCCGCAGTGGACGTAAGTGGGGCACTGATGTACGCGGTGGGGTGTTCCGTGAGGGATGACTGTATAGCCAACCCTTTTGGAAATTCAAGACTTCACGACAACAAACTGCCCCTTGTCTGTCCGGTATATATATAAACATCGTCAATCAAATCTTGTAATTAATTGGCATTTGAGGTACATTTGACTGTCAATTTTTTTTACAGTCAATTGAATACCGTTATATACATTTTTTTTTTAAAATATTTATCACATAAACAATCCAGTTACACGTGTCGTCCAGACTCTGTTTTGAGGTTAGGTATTCTTGGCTCGCATAGAAAAACTCGTTACGGACATTCGCAGAGCCTACGTCCAAGACGGCCGCCCGACGCAGATCCGCTACTTTGCGTAATACGTAAATTGCAATCAACACAAGTGCACCGACAGAAGGCGCTAAACCTTTTTCCCATTAATCAGAGAGTTAATGACGTAGTAGTAACGCGTTCTGCGCTCAAGTTCGGCGAGACTCTTGCGCGGTCGGATACAGGGGCAGGGGGGAGGGGAGGAGGTACTTTGCCAGGTACGAGTGTTGGCGAAAGAGAAAGAAGGGAAGGAAAAAAAATATACAGAGAAGCCGGGCAAAGCGGAAAAAAAAATAATCGGAAAAAACCGACGTTAAAACAGGGGGGAAAAGAAAAAAAAATAACAAGCAAGAAAAATTTCATGCCGCCGGTGGCTTTCGAGCTTTCAGCGTTCTCGTGTGTAGGCTCGCTATCCAGAAAGCCTTTCATATGGAAAATACATATCAACGGCTCGACCTCGTTTCCATTGATTTGAAACGATGAAAAAATTCGCAATTATTTTCAAGACGCGACGATCGCAATCAAAAGCTCTAGGGTTCTTGACGAGGAGACGAAAAATTATTTTCGAGATTAATCAACGATTGCCTTAATCAAGCCAATCGTCCTTCGTTATCAATGATGTATACTATATAGGTATATATAGGTATATATATATATGTATACTATATATATATATATTTCAAATTTTGTTTAACCACAGTACCAGGCAAGTGACGTAACAGCTTAGAATCTGTAAAGCGTCTTGAAGCGCTCTCAAGCTCACGATAAGATCCAACCCAGATTTCGCAACGACGAAGAAAGATTTGGCGCTTGCACCGTATTATATCGCAGTAACTCATTTTAATGCACGAGCCGGAAAGGCAACAGGGCTTTTGCGTTCGGTATAAATTTAAAGTGTCGATTGGAGGTTGAGAAAAAAAAAAGAGCGATTAAAGATTTTACGGCAGGTCGAGCAAAGCATTCAGATCCGGCGTATTTTATATTTCCGCGCGGTAAATAAACAGTGATTTTTTTTCTTTTTCTTTGCCATTCTCACAAAATTAAATCCAACGTATTTATTCTGATTAGTCCTGGTATCGGGGTTGTTGGTATGGTTGAGATTGAAAAAAAAAAATAGATTAAATAAAATTCTGTGTATGTAAAATTTAATGTGTAATTATCAAGAACATATGCAAGCTCAGCAAGCGTCGAGTGGCGCTCGCGGCACTTCCAGAGGTCCGTTTAACCAGGTTTCCCAGCACTGGGATACCCCGGAGGACCGGTGGATTTTTTGTCTCTTCTTTTTCGAAAATGAACCAAAAGCGGAACAAAAACGTGGCCGCCTATTCGTTATGTGCTATCGTGATTTTCCCGCCGGTGCTGCCGCCTTTATTCAGATCACGAACCATCCCTTCTTCATTCCCAGGGGTGTATGACGTACGAGTATAGATACGGTGTATGGGTATACAACGTTGGTATTATGTAGAAGGTATACATATATATATATTTTTTATATATGTTTAATATATAGGTATATATCTTTTTCTCGACTATATTAACCTTCCTGTATTTCATCTCATATTCTGGAAGCTCAATGACCCGTAAACCGCTCGCGACGTATATTTGAGGATTTATCTAATTGCCGTCCCATCAGTAGATGATTGATCGTTGCTCCTCGTACGGATAAGGATTAAATATGCGGAATACGAGAGAAAAAATGTGTATACCCAGATCATTAGGGATTAAAGGTAAAAGATAATGGATTAAATAAAAAGAAAATTGGTAAAAATTGAAGTGGCAAAAAATCAAAATGCTATTGGAGTAATTAACTGTTCTTTTGGTTCTCAATGGACCGGTCGCAAATTTGGTGAAAATAAAAAAAGTACAAAAATTATTATAACCCCTGATTGTAAAAATAAATGGCTCTTCGTTCTGATATACGAAGCTGACTGGTGTTTATTTATTGTAAATGCTTACCAAACGCGTAAACAAATTGATGGAACCGAAAGGACGCCGAGGCGCCGCCGTTATAGCGTTAGCGTAACGCCAGCGTTTGTCGGCGGCAGGTTACTCTTCTGAAATAGAACGTTACTCGATTCCCCCGAACGCAAACGGCCTGCATCGACACACTCGAAATTCCTTTGTTTTTCCTATCCCTTTTTTTTCAAACCCCCTATTCGCCTTTATACGTCTCGTTGTCCAAACAGTCATTGCCAACATTTTTGCCTATAGAGATACACGACTCCACGTTGGTTTTGAATCCTCATTTTTATTTTCTTTTTCTCTTCTTTTTTCTCGTACGTCATGCGACGCGGCCCAAATATCGAAAAGCCGCGAATTTCAAACGCTCCTGTGTTTTAGGCAAAGTCTATATGTATACTTGTATACTGGCGCAGTTAGTAGGGACGAGAAAGTGGGACACGTTGAAAGGAAAAATAGAAAAAAATATCCTAACTTTTTCGGAACGCCAGAGAATTTTTCAAAAAGTAATAGTATAGGTGTGGGTGTAATTATAGAACATTCGTTACATAGACAGCTGTGGAACGAGCGGAAATTTAAATTTTAAGTAATCCTGAGAAAATTATAATACTGTTATACCGCAATTTTAGTTGGGATTTGTAAATGGCAAATGCATAGTAAAATTATTTGCCTTTTAGAGCTTTCGCGTTTGTCAAATAAAAAAGATGCAATACGCATGTTAATACGTTATAGCCGCGGTGCGTGAGCGGAGAATTGCGTAACGGGCTACAAATCGCGAAAAGTCATATTGATAATAATTATAATAATGCCTCACGATTTCGTCGTTCCGTGTAATGGGATCGATGCTGAATGATAACAGAGAATAGGAAAATAAAGAAAATAAATAATGACAAGAACGAAAGAAAAAAATTCAATTCCGACTGTACCAAATGGCAAAACCGTAGAGAAATCCTTTGATCAAATTTCTAAAGGGCGAAACACAGTCTTCACTACGGTAAGTGTGCTGATACAGATAAATTTGAGAAATATAAAAAACAAAAAAAAAAAATTCACGTCACTCAATTCGGACTTAATGGAAAGGTCAAATAATTTTTTAATAATATTTCCCTAAAATTTACCAAAAATTCTCTCAAGTCAAATTTGCTCTCCCGTTCCGAATGATTGTCCAAATCAATGGCCGTTAAAAAATTGCAAGTGGAAATAGCATGACGTTATCTAAAAATTGAAAATTGCCCACCCATCCCATTTTTGCACGAGCCTTTTAGTTCGCGTATTGATAAAAGAAAAAAAAATGGAATCGACAAAGCATTCACGTCGACGTGGAATTTTCGAAAAAAAAAAAAAAAAAAAAAAAAAAAAAAAAAAAAAAAAAAAATGCAAAAAACCAAACATCATGGGAAGTGTATAATTGAAGCATAACCCAAGCAATTAACACGCGTGAAAAGAGTGCAGCACTGTTGCAGAGGTTAGTTGCTCGTAGAATTTGCCCGAAGAATTTTTAAAGTATCGACAGGTAGAATGCAAATTCGACAGCATGCACTCGTACGTTGGATTCAGTCAATTTTCTCTTGAGAAAAAAACCGGCAAATTCTCGACACGAAGTGAACTCAATCTAAGTGTAAAATTCGCGCTGTCTGCGAAAGTCAATAAAATGAATTTCATTGCAAACTCTACGGACATGCAAAATTTTCAAAATTCGTCCATGCTATCATTTACCACATTCGTTCAGATTAATGATAAAAAAATAAACCTTGTAAAAGATAAATCTGAACGCTCGCTGGAATATAGCCAAGATGCCCTAACAATAACAAGGTCCTAATTACGTCAGCTACGTAGGACCAAGTTAACATTGTTCTGTTACTCTTAAAGGACCTGAATAGGCACTTCTGTGAGCAATATAGGACAACAAATGTACAAACGGACACATTCAGGTTGTCCGACCCAATCGGATAACCTAACCCTGTCCATATATACATATATGTATATACACACAAGAACTGACTATAAGAGGCACGTACAATAAAAGTAGCTAGAAGAGTGTAAAAATGGCCGGAAGTTACGATCGAGTTACTGCACTGTTAAAGTATTATGTCGGTGATAAAAGGAGCGAGAGGAGTATAGTAAACACACACTCGATGGAGCAGACTCCTGCTTGCAGGAGATTGCACAAGTACAAATGGACCAGGATAATGTAATTGTTGGGCGTCAGCATCGAGGACGCCATATTGAATTGGAAAAAGTTTAAAAGCACAAAGTCCCGCAATCATATGTCATCAGGACATTTAAATAACAATATTATAATTGTTCATGATATTTATCTAATTATTATGGCTAATATTCAATTAATTTTACAAACACATTCGCTTCGACTCCGAACCTTTCGATCCACCTTTTCCGTCTCACCACGTGTCATTTGGGATGCACCGATTAATATTTTAGTTTTATCGAGGATTCCAGACGTGGATGTTTAACGCAGTGGCAAAACGTCAAAAAAGTCTAGTACATTTTTTAAAGAAATAACTATATACATATAAATCTCTGTTAAAAATGATTTACCGATCTGTAGTCAATATTATATATCGCATGTCGCTCTGTTCAACTGGTGCTATCATTTGTTTATCCAAATGACAGATATGACGCACGGATTTACAGACAGAAGCGGGCGTTGCCGGAAGTATAATAATAAGGCGCGTAAATTTGAATCGCCATAATATGATAAATGCTATATTTTTATTCTACATCCAGCCTATAAATTATTGTGTTATACTTTTGTTGGAGAAAGAATAACTACGATATTATTAACCATAAGATATCACTGCAGTATTTCAAACGGCGTTATCAAACCGCGCGAGATATTATCAGCGGGCAATTAATCACCCTGGGATACGGGCGTCCCGAGGTAGGCGCCGTAAGCTTAAAGGTATATCCTTAGAATCTAAACTCAGTTTACGATTCATAAACGGGAGCCTGGCGAATGGTCCAAAATGGCTGGGTCTTATGTAAGGGCGTGCAATTTGCATTTTTGATGATTTCATCAAAAGTTTATAAACTTTAGCATTTGTCTCCTTTTAGCTCAGCCACGACGGCTACGTTTGAAGGCCTGTTAATTGCAAGGGTGTAAACCCGCTTAAACAGCTTAATTAACTCGACCAAGTTAATCCAGTAATATAATATTTCCAACAGTTTCAGAAACCTTCCTTTCCGATACAGGCTTCGGGATATATAAGTGAAAAATATTTTAGCCTGCCCAGTATCCGTTTATCGTGTTACCAAGTATGCCTATAATAGAAAAATTTGTTTTTTAATTCAAGAAAAATTTGTAATAAAAATTAAATACCTATAAGGTCACCGTTACTACGTTATAATTAATACAGAGTGATTTTCAGCTGTAAGTATGCATTTTTGTAACGACTTACGGATTCCTATGGGGTTAGGTTAGGTTACTTCAGGGTAGTTAACTACCTCGTCCTGGTACCAGCGAGATAAGTCCCCTATGCCATGTAGTATCATAGACTCACTAGGAGTCAGCCGCATTGTAATGGGTCTATTGATTTGTCATCAATAATAATTTACAATATCGGCCAATTGATACGTTATTATTGTTTAACACTTCGCCACGATTATTTCCATATGGTCATTAGACAATCCTTTGTACCTGGAATTATATGTCATTGAAAATTTGCATGTTGAATTGATTGATTGACTATCGAATCTGAATTGATACCAGGATAATGTATAATAGTAATTTCCGAACTAAATTCAAATCACACTAGATACGAATTAAAAATATGTTCAAATATACGTAGATACTATTGTAGAAAAATTAGAATCACGTTTGGATTAATTAATTAAAGTTTAAGGTACGATTTTCATTGTTCTTATGAACTTTTGATTCTCTGATAACGATGCAGGAACGACTGATTGGTTTGAATGTGCAATAAGGCTCGAGTGCATTTGTCAGGTTGTCTAATTGGACGAATTGCAAGTACAGTCATCGTATATTGGAGTTCGTGACGTAAATATGTAGGATTTCGTTTGTTCAAGTTTTACCGAATCCTACTGGCACGTAATACCTCCTGGAATAATTATTCAAAGCGTGCTTTATCCCGGTTTAAAAATAAATTCCCTAGAACTGGTAACACACGGGCGAGAGATAATAGCGAATATTGAGTTATTCTGAGCGACACGAGTCTTCATTATCGAACGACGATAAAAACCGTTGAAAGCATTTGATTTGAATACAGTAAAAAATCAAAGTAAACGATTGTTTCGCGGTATACCAAATAAAAGTTTTATTGGTTATGTCGGCGCACGGACTAATTAAATACGATAAATAGTATAGTACAAAAACAGTATTTCTAAGTATATATTATTTGTATATAGCATCTATGCATATGCACCCGACAGAGAGAGAAAGAGCTGACATATAAATTTGATCAAAATAAAGTAAATCGTGAAACGTCTTGTGTAGTTACCAACAGATGTTATTTATTACAGTTTGAAAATCGATGGAAGATTTATCAAGCTATAGAAAAAAATAATAGCGAGTACAGTCTAAATTGTCATGGTATTGTATAACGTACACGTATTACTTCAAAATCTTAAAAATAAATTTTCTGTTTGGCAAATATCTTTCTTCTTTTTTTTTTAATTATAACTTCGACTTATCTCTCATGAAGGTATTTTTATGTGACCAATAATAGAATATGTATACATATATTTTATCCTAGACTTGAATCAAATCAGTTTGAAGACAATTTGTCATGTGATAAACTTTTGAGAAGTTACCGTTGTAAATTATTTGGACGTTCGTTAAAATCTGTATTGGATTTTATAGAATATCCAATAACGTACATTATTATTATTTTATATGACACGTTATATCATTATCTCAATTGACTAGGCTGTAGGGAGTCCTGAAGATGTTTATTTACTGGTGTTATTAAACAATATGAAAATACAACACGTTGACGTCATCCTGCGCAAACTTGTGACAGTCTTCGAATAAAATTCACGTGGATATTATCACATAAAACAAAGATTATACAAAGCAGCGTAAAAGGACTCAGCGTTGAACGAGTTCATTACCATAATGATAACAATCGTAGTCATAACATCATGCAAGCGAAGACGCCATGACAGGAGATTCACTAGAAACTTACATGTTTTGACGTTGCCACATTACGTGAAAGAAAGAAAATATGAAAGACTCACCAAAACCGTAGATGACGGATAATAAATCGACGGTTGATGAAATATTCAGCTGCTTTAATCTTGAGATTTCGACAGTATTTACGCGACGTATCACTCGCCGACGCGGAGCACTCTGCTGTAACGCATATGACTGAATTTTTTCTCGATACTACCGCCATCTTGAACTCGCGACCTTCCGCCGGTAAAGTAGAGAACAAGCGTGTTATAACAAGATGCCGTGAAGTTTCTTCTCACTACTACAAGAGTTTACTGGTTTTCATATATTATGTGCTTTAAAAATACAAGTATCGTTATACCGAATAAAATAATAATGATGATTGACACCGAGAATCATACAGTCTAATAACAATGATATCGATTCCGTGTTTAACTATGCTTTAGTACTTTGAAGCTGTTTCTTTTTAAATGTATACTTGCCTCAGACGATAAACTTAAACTTGTGTTTCATGTGATAATTCAATGCAAAGGTGAAGCTTTTGTTCTAACATTGTATCCTGCGTGGTCATAGAACAAAGAATTTTCCACGTGCAGTTACAGCAAGTTGCAAGGATACGCGTGTACCTATTATTCAAGGATTAACTGGCTGTATGGGGATAATGGAGCAACAGTTAATTTCTGGACGGAAAGCGAGGTAAGAGTACAATGTCTAAATATATATATATATATATATATATATACATAATATTCCCATAATCTTTTTGGTGTTCACGGGTAACCTAACTTTGTACACATCTGCACTGATCTACTTATCACTATGGCAGGTCTGTACGTGTTCAGTGTTTTAATGCGAGGTATCTCGTCCTGGTTGCATGCGCCATCGCTCACTCACTTAGTATAATGCAAATTTGACGAGTATCGTTAAACAATGAGAATCAGGACTTGGATGGTACTAAATCATCTCCTTAATTTCCCAGTGCCATCATGGCGATGCTTTCTCAACTCAACTGATCATTTTCCATCTCCTTGGGCCACTTAAATGTACAAGATTTCCCTGTGGATACTCTCTATATACGTATGTGTATCTATTATAAAGCAACCCTCTATTTTGGGGTGGTCACTTCGCAGGCACCCATCACGGACCCTATATCAATCATATTTCCATGTTTGACCGCAAACGCAAGCCCTGTGCAATTTGCCGAGACCATTTTTGCGAAACGTGACAGATAACAACAGTACGTGCCACCCAGCTGGGATCGTCCATTGGAAATTCAGTTATTCCCTGGCAGCAACAGGCGAACTTGGCCTTAATTACTTGGGAGCATTACTTTCTTTTCTACAGGGTTTTTTTTTTGCAGTAACGCTAATGGCGACTGTGCTGCTCATATACGGCGTATGCATAATTTCGTTTAAACGAGGTAGATATATTTTTGGAAAATTTCTATAGAAAATTCATCTCGCGAATAGCCTATTGCCTTTGTTGGTATAAACTGATTTAAATGAATATGCATTTGTATGGGCAAATTGGGTTGGTGTTTATTGTACACAAAGACACTTTAATCTGATTTACGAGTAATTTCAGGATGGATAGTAGCCAAGTTTAATTGCGGACATTGATGAGAGTTCACTGATCGAGAAACAGAGAAGGCACGTGCTACCGAATGTTTAGTTTACTAATTAATTGTAACGCTGGAATGATCCTTCACTCTACTGATACGACGCTGGTGAGATGGTACTTTGTATAATCTTTATCTAGTCGATATAATTTTTTGAAAATTGCCATATATAATTTTACCACAACGTACAATGTTTGCCTTGACGTTCAGCGAGTGTAATTTGCTAGCAGAGAGCTTTCATGAACTCATGACGGACTGGTTAAATGATAATAAAATCACCAATTACCGCTTATAGATTTAATAACAATTTTTTATATAGATTTTTTAAAAATAATGCAAGTTTCTATTTAAACTTTTTCCTTCCTCGTCTCTTTCCGTACTTGAAGGTTTCAACGTCTGGTATACGTACTACTTACCGTGTAACTCTAATTGTTAATACTAATTAAGCAGTTTGTATTGCAGATGGGGTAAGGAGACGCGAAGATAGTTTTACCTGAATGGGACTACCGGAACAAGTTATAGAAACGAGGAGGATTGTCTTCCACTTAGAGTTTCCTCAAGATCCTCATTGCTCTAAGTATCCAGTAATCTGACTTAAACAAGTCTTCTGGATACAGTTTGAGAGGAGAAATTATAAAGCCACGATCTACCAGACGCATTCAAAATTGTTTCTCTGGTTTGGATATCCACTTTCCGCCCGAAACAGACATTCGCAAGCTAAATCCACGTAATCGTCCAACTCCTAAGTTCCCTATATCTAAGTTCCATCTATGTACAATAGATGTTTTGACAGCGTTCTGAAAACTAACCATTCACAAATTTCTAGTATTTCTGGAAAAAAGAAGGTAAATCTTTGAGGAAGTGATAAAGGATACGTATAGGTACTGTACCGTATTAGATTTGTTTTCGATAAAAGCACGATTATTCACTGCGTTATAATATATGAAAAATTTAATATTACAGAGTCGAGGAACACCGATGCAGTTGAATCTCTTGCGTGGAAGTTCGTTTCCGTCGCGGTGAAAAGTTTTAACGAAGATACTTCAGCGGTATTGGATGCATGTACCAGGCACTGGAACTTCTTGCGAATCAAATGGATTTCCATTTCCTTGAGAAATTTGTCCTTACGGTAATACAGTTAGCTTGGGCTCGACCTAGACCAAACTTAATGGCACCATTACGAAAATTATTTGACCACCGCACGTAGGAAAATCGCAATTCGACAGCGAAGCGACTTCCGTTTGCTCGTGTATTAAAAACCTAAAAATACAAGGTGTATTAGTCTGAGAGGAACTGTGATATTGGTAGAATAAACATGGTAAGATAAACTGATAAGATATTTTGAGGATAGATGATAACGGTACGAATGCACGAAATTTAGGCACAATATTATTATTATCGAATCGTTGGGTTTTTTTTTCCTTCGAAAAAGATACTAAAGGGAAAGTCGATAAATTGTAAACTTTTTGTTTGTTGCAACCTAAAAAGATTTATTCTCATTAAAACCGTGGCTGGTAACTGCGTCGAAGCTTAAATGAATATACGCAAATAGGTAAATTATGATTCATGAAAGTGCTTAATTATGAGAATTCATTCTTATTAAGAATGACTGCAGTTGCTAAAATACGTAATATTCGCAAGGTCCTAAGATAACAAACTCCGGGAGGGCGTCTTGAGGAGGTACTTCATATTTATCTTCACCTGCTCCAGTTACCAAGGTTATATCCAGCAGTTTCGCCGATATATACATGTATATATGTATGCGTACAATATATTTCTTCTCATGAATACATGATTGAGACTATTTTTGTTGCGAATCAAAGAAAGCATTCTTCCACACAAGAATTTCTTGAGAAAGCGACACAACGACATTATTAATTTCACAAACTTCATTTTGCTGGCTTCAAAGGCATAAAAGGTTCTACATAAAAATGACTAAATATTAATATATTTTTCGTTGCTTCGATAATGCAGCTTCTTATTATTAATATTATTGTTTTTCAGATGGCATTGCGGCAGGACAGTACAATTTATCAAAGACGTAATAAAGGAAAGCTATCCTCTCCAGGGGGCAGTGTTACTGCTGGTAAGAGACGACGGCTCCAGTGGTGGGGATAAAAACAAAGCAGGCGAAACGGATAAATTGGAATTCCCTTGGGTAGGAAACATGGAGTAACCTGCTTCCACCTTATGTCTCATTACGAACTGCCTGAGGTTCCTAATGCACCTCGTTTATCTGCCCTGCACTTCTTTTCCTTTCTACCTCGCTAACCACTTCTTCTGCTTTGTTCTACTTTTATTATTTTCACTGTCCCCAGTAATGACAGTGGACACTGCTGAGGTTGGTTTGATATCTCTCTTGAATTACCTTTGGGGTATTGGCTGCCTTAATACTATTTTACTATTGGTTGTAAAGTCACGTCAATTTGTTCTATACCTTGCTCAGAGTTCAGGATACATTTAATATCTTGTTTCATGACAATTCACTTGCATTTAGTTTCACGAGAATTCACTGGCTTCTACAGACAAAGGTACAGCAAGCTGGAGGATTTTCGTTTATGAATATTCCAGAATTCTCACGTAGTGAAAACTACTTGCAAGTCGATTCTTCAAGTAAGTTATGGGGAGTACGGTATAGGTACCTTTAGAGTTCGATTTGAGAACTACCTTATGAAATCACGTGCCGTGTTACCTACAACTAAAAACTTGCAACCAAGATGGCGGCTATTGTGAAGAATCTGAAATTTAAAAGTTGAAACGCTTGAAAGGCTTTATATTTGAAGATACATTGAAAATTGAGGTATTCCAAATCATCCAGATTTTTCATACGAATATTCGTTACTTCAATGGACTCATTTGTCACTTGTACTTAAATAAATAAATCTGTGTTCCAGATAAAAAAAATCTCATGGCAGCTCGCTCGAATAAATTCTTCCTCGCATCTCAGTCGTAAGAGCGACGAACTTTCGTCACATTTCGAAAGTAGATTCTTGGTTTTGCCTCGCAGTAAAAGTTTCTTGCGGGATTACCAGACAAGATATGGCCAGAGAATATCGAGAGGACTGGTTGTAAAATGTTCTCGGATATACCCATTTCCTAGTAGCCAAGGAAGATCCTCGTTCCACTTACCACGGTTACTACTCTTCTTGTTACCTTTTCGCAGATCCTCAATCCTCCTTCTCGTCGTAGGACGAGCTGCCATCTTTTCTACACTTTTGCTGCTCCTGTCGTCCGGCCTTTTCGACTCTCTCGGCTTACAAATAGCGCTACGGTCGCTATGCTGACAATGACATCGGTAAGTTCGATTCGCAGCGCTCGATTTTAAAGCATCATTATTCTCCGGTACCAAGGAAGATCCTGGGTGAATGTGGCTGTTGGATTTTTATCTTCATAACATTTGTCCAACGGTATAAAATCATATTGAACATTACATTCTTATAAGGTCCAAGTAAAAAAAAAAAAGCTATGGACGTAACAATTTGCGTTTGTTCATATCTTGACCTTGACGAAGCATATCTTGTTCGTGCCAAGTGTATTCTTATTAAATATTTTTATCTTGCAGATAAACGTACCCTGGAGTCTCCGAATTTTAAGGACCCTCCGAAGACGTTTCCTTGTATCCGGAATCGTATGATCCAACTTTCTGAAATCAGGCACTCTCTTCTCTACATTCGTGCAAGGAACTTTTATGGCCTGACCTACAGTAGAAAGTGGAGTGACAAGCCAGTTCCGTGAGTACCGCAGGATTCAATGTTATTCAGGTTTGTTAATTAATAAAAATTTTTAAAATCACCAACCGTTTCAGATTAGTATAGGATATTCGGAAATTGAGAAGAACTGCCTAAATTGTGGACCATTAAGCAAGAGTGGGAGGGCTCAGAGGGGTGGAAAAGTGCGTGTCGCGCTTACCGGCAGTATAATTAATTTATTAAGCTTACGATAGAATCTACGAGACGAAGCACCGGATATAACGTACAGGCAGGTTCAAAGGATTCAGGACAAGGTCGAGATGTTAGTTATCCGACCCTTTTTCTGGTCTATGGTCATTGGTTCCTTCGTCCTTCACCAGCACACAGGACCAGGATACGGCCAAGTCCCCTTTTGCTCATCCAGTCATGACTCTGATCTGATGTGGGTCTGGTTGGGTTCTGGTGAGGCTGCTGTACCGGGTTCCGTGTCCTTCGGTACCTTCTCCGTGACAGTAGCCGCAGAGATACGCCCCCGTAAAGTTAGTTACGACTTACTTGAATTCCTGGGATAAATTCGACGGTGGGCATCCATTTCTCCTACTGTGGCATAGATTATATCTTTTAGGTAATTTAATCTGGCTGATAGACACGTCCGTTCTGCCTACTATGTTCTTTTAATCCGTTGGAATTGCGTAATTAACTTTTTTCACAATTTAATAACCGTCATGGCACAGCAGGGTTTCTAAATTATTAAACACACGTGACGATGAAGTCTTTCCATGATGGATGACAATATTTCATGCTCATCCTGTTTGCGTTCGACAGTACAACCAAAGTCATTTATTCGGCGCATAATCGACTATGGAAGAACGGTAAAAGAAAAGAAAATTGTATTAAATGGGTGTACAAAATAATTGGAGCTTCCGTTAAAAGCCTTTTTAATTGAAACCGTAATTTTAGTTTTGAGATTTGATTTTCTTGCTAGATTTTGAATCGATCAGCTGGTCAATTAAAATGTTAGGTCTCTTGTTACAGCGTTCCGGAACAACGGGCATCAGTATCTAAGGACTTCCCGAAAAATAAGGAGCTTCTGTGGCGGAGCTACCTTAGCCCTGATGTTGCAGACTGGGACGTTTGCGAAACGCCGGCAAAACGCGGAAGCCGACAGGAAGCCACGAAATGTACTAAAGACCTTGATTATTTTTGCACCATTAGAAATGATTGCGCGATTGAAAAATTATTTAATATCTTCACATTCATAAAGTAAAGACAATCTTTCTAATTTACCGTACGACGTGAACTCGTACGTCATTCGGCAAATGGCATCGATCGAATGACGATGGCGACGACCAATTGGCATCGTGGAAAAATGATGAAAGAATTTTCACATATTTTTTATACCCGACAGAGCAAATATGCAGCCTATACTAATCTAATCAATTTCATGTCTCTCAGTCTAATCTTCATTAATCTTCCAAGATTTTCCACCCTCGCAAGTATTTCAGGTATATTAAAGATTCTTGAAACTCTCTCGTCCGGAGGCTCAGGAAATTACTTAAAAGGGAAAAAAAAAACAATGTTTTTTCAAAGACCAAAGACCCTCGATCCACGTTGTCCTCGAAATAGATCACCATTAGCGGGTCATTATCCGCGAAGGGCAAATGAGGCGGGACACTCGGGGGTGTAATCCGGGTAATCTGAGGCCATTACGCTAATTTCTCCGAGTACATCACTTACGCCGTTCGCAGGGGGTGGCCCAGGAGGAAACTGGGGCTACGAAACGGCGCCAAGGTGGAAATTGAACCGGGTACCGGATATCCAAGTGTCTACCTAGCTAGCCCATCGCATGTAAAACTGAAACGCCTAATGCACCCTCCTAGAGAGCAAATGGACCTACCCTTCTGAATATCCAGTTGGAGCTAATTTTGAGAATCTGGACGTAGGTATATGAATATAGTAGATTTTAACGTATAACGTGATCATATCATACCCATAAGACCGACCTTCTCTACCTGAATCCCAGAAGTCCCCATTCAAATATTCCCATTGATTTCGTCCCTCGAAATTTCATTTTTAATTCATTTTTTGTTTGTTTTAGCACAGCCCACGCGAGTGTTATTTCACATTCACCTCGTCTTAACGCCTTCCTTTGATGTCGGATATCTGATTATGCGTAAACGGGTTACGCCGGAGATTAAATACAACTTTTGACGGTGGCTACGCCTTTGAGCTAATTCGCGAACAATGCCGTTCAGGTCCGCCCTCCGGCTTCAAGCTGTTTGTCTGCTGCGAAGCGAACCGTTTGTGCAAACGGTCCTCGATTCTGTGGTTTAATTAAAACTACTATGGCGCTCCGACGCTTCCTTTCCTTTGTGACGGCCCAGTGCATTACGTTCACTGCATAATTAGGTCACCCAGGTGAAAATGCCAAGATAATATTTATACGTAAAACCATCGTTTACAGGATTTCGTTTTTTTCTTCACCATCGTCCTGGACAAGCGATGCATGTAATTTGTATTTTACAACTGCATCGAGAATATTTTTTGTAGGTATTTTTGAGGAAAGGATTTTGATTTTAAAGCCGATTACGCGGAGCAGCTTGAGGCTGATTGTAAAATTTTTGAGAATTAATTACATCGATTAAAGGTGATTATTGCGTGTATTCCATACTGTATGTGTAAAAAATTATTTTTCTTAACGCTTTTTTTTTTGTTTCAGCCTATTTTGTCTGTCGGCTTTACACAGTGTAAATATTCGTGTCGTAAATCCCACCGAATGAAGAAACACGTTTCTAGCTTTGAAGTAGCCAAGTTCCATGGCCGATGCTCATGAATATAAAATTGTGCCGCCCGCGGTAAAACGTCAAACCGTAAACTTTGATGGTCATTCGAAACGCGCATGCTTACCTGCAGAACTTCCTATCGATTGTAAAGGCGAAAACGCATATTCCGTAAAAAAAAAAGTAGCGCAATCTCGCACCTACAGCCAATAAAATGTCCACGCTTTACGCGTTTCAAATTTATGCGCATATAAAGACATATACAGAGTTAGCACGTTGAGACAGCCGACCCGGTCAGGCAGCAAAACCACATTTAATTTCCCTTGAAACGAATTTCTCTCTCGTTGTCGATTTCCAAAATGAACGAGAAAAAAATGCCTTTATATTAACATATCAAAAAGTACCATTCCAATCTGACACACCGAGTATAGTCCCAAGTCTAAGAAGCATTTATATTCTCCTTTACAGCCCCTGTCTACAACCCCTATAACATCCGTAAGAGGTTAGAAAAGAAAAATGTTCGGGGTCACAAGTGATCCCGAATGACCCTATCACGGGAGCCGTGGTGACGTAAGACCGCTGTCAAGCTGTTAATGCGAACGAGCGACGGTGTCGCCATCTACGAGACGGCAAGTTTCCACGACAGTTATTAATAGGCACGGTGGAGAATATTTAGGCATACGCAAGGAATGCAAGCCCGAACTGTACGTTATTTATTTTTCTTTTAATATACATATTTTTGTTTTCTTTCTTTCTCATCGTCTTTTTGGTCTCTCTCGTTCCAGAAGCGGACGTCGGACGTTTCAGAACCATCCAGGCACATCCGGTCCATCGCTCTTCGCATGTTGCAATCCTCATGATTCGTGGATCGCTTACGCTCTCGCGATACCGCAGGAAGTCGCTGCAATGGATCACCGGAAATGTCCACGAGGCTTGATTCTTATTGGATTCCTGATTACCAGTCTGGACCCTGTGCTCGGCTCATCTTCTTTACTACCACCCTCTACACCCCACGTCCTCATGTAGATGTCATTCCGGTGCAACGGTCCAGTCCAAACAATCGTACATCCTCAGCATCACCGTCCGTGCTATTTAAGCGTTCTAGAAAATTAGGTATTTCCGGTTGCTGAGGAACGACAGTCTCTGTTATCTTATATTCGATGCTTTATTCTTTTTATTCTTAATCGCGTGCAAGGGGTTGAGCAATATGCGATATATTAAACCGCGACGATCGTTTATTCGTGGAATTATAACGTTGCCCGGTGTAAAAGGGTATTTATGGCGGTGCCCGGAAGTCTTTCGAAAAATATGTCTCCCCTAATTATGAATTATTATAAACATTCTGCGGCACGGCGGGTGGCGAGAAGGGGGCGAAGGGGATGTATGGATGAATTTCAACGTGGTCAGGGGGACGTGTCGTCAGGGCAGAGAGCCAAGTCATTAGCGTCGAAATTCTCTGAAAATATGAGGCTTCCGTATTAGCATTATTGATAAACGAAGTCGTGGGGCGCGCGAGACAGAGAAAAGGGGATACGGATAGAGAGCGTCGATATTGAAAACAGTTCCTAAGCCTTTCAAAATAGAAGATCCCGCATTGGGAACGGCCTCTGAAGATTTTTCTAAATATATTCGCGCTACCCGTACAGTCATCGATATATCATCTGACAGTTTCCAAGTGGTGGTTCATACGTGGAATATATTTCAGTCTCCAACAGTACTTACGGAAATGACGTTCTCGTGCGGGAATGGTGAAAAAGGAAATGGAAGAAGAAAAAAAAGTCAGAGAAAGAGCCACAGCGTGACACCTTCCTGATAAATCATTTTCATTCGGCCACGTCAATTTTTATTAACGGTTAAGACATTTGGCTTTAAAAAAAAATATTACGTCATCGTCGTACCAGTTCTCTATCAACTAAATTCCATATCGAAATCAACCAAATTCCATACGGAAATGGTATTAATAAAATATACGTATTTTTTTTTGGGGGGGAGCAACCTCGAACTCATCAGCAAAACTCGAATTGGGTTTACCCTCGCATTCCGTGATATCGAAAATACCTATAAAACTCGGGGAATCCCCGGATCCACGAGTCTTCTCGAAGCAATAAAAGAAAAGACACCCCCATTAAAAATTCAGCCGGAAAGTGGAATTTCGTTCAATAAGTACCGCAGAACGTGTGATTAGAGTCACTATGAGAAGGAACCAAGGAAATAGGACAGGGGTTAAACCAAATTATATATAGGGTGTACAGTGTGGGTGTTTATAAGAAAATGAAATTTTGACAGTCAAGATATACTGTGCAGGGTGTGACTATAACGTGCGTATCTTTAGCCTAGATAGGCTCGAGCTCACAAAAGGATTCGATTAGGACCTGCCCACTCTTCAGGACCTCCTTACATAATTGATTGCCTTAATTTAACCCTAGGTACTCTCCATCAATTTTCACCTACGACCGAGACTCCTCGGGCAGCGACGCTTCACGTCCACGTATCCATTTTACGTATGGGAAAATAGAGTGGCGGGTTTGCGTTTTCACTAGGAGACCTCGCCGTTCACCAATAGAGACCAGATAGCCTAGTGACATTTTCCTGGCAGGTTCGTCTCTCCTTGTATGTTGAAGTATATATATAATATGTACATTATGACTCTGGTGTATAGACAAATACACTTATGTATATCTCTGCCTACGTTATGTACTTTGTATACGTGGTTATATGTGTATAAATATATATATGTATATGCAGGATGGACGCCCAGCGTCGGCCGGATAAGCTTTGACAGAGTGACCCTGTTATCGAGCGAGTATGCTGGGGGTTAGGACAACCAGACACTGGGATGTGTACCTGTACGGCTGGCGTCGCGACGCCCTGGAACTCGCCACGCCCGAATACCATCACTCGGGCTAATTATAGAAATTTTTTGGAAATTTCATAATAAACAGGGGAGCAGGTGACATTTTTACCTTTTAAATAAATTTAATCACAGGGTGGTACGCGTACAGTGTATTTTTGTCTGACGATTTTTTTTTCTCGCAGGTGGTACCTGCAAATGGACTGTCTTACTGGCGTGGGGGCACTATCGCAAAGTGGAATTCGTCGTTTATGAAGAGTACGGGCCAAATCCGTTTCTGCGAGACGTGACGTATTTCGCCGACTGCTACGTCACGTAGGATCAATTTGGTTATTGAATTGAATGGATGAATGGATAGCATTGAAATTTTCTTGATGGGACGAAGAGCGATAGACTGTCGTGTAGGAGTTATATAATTTTTTTTATTTATTTGTAAAATTGGATTTGGAAGAAGTTTTTTGTTTTTGTAAAAATTGTCGGGGCGTTTTTTTTATGAATTTTTTTTGTTGCACGTTTCACTTGGTATAATTTAGTGGACACTTTTATTTTTAATTGCCATCCACTCTTGGATACTTTTTGAAATTTATTTTTATCTTTAAAGTCCCTTGGGGTTGCTCTTCACGATGTGGGAGGCCTGAGGGTGGAAATTTCACTTGTGCTGTAAGCACTGACAGGGAGCCGATGAGATTCTGAAAAATGTGTCAGCTAGGGATTTTTCGCTGTTTTGATAACGCAGATGGGATCTGCGTCTGGATGTAATACGATATCGGGGAGACATTCGGGCTGGAAGGTCTGAACCCTCTTTTAAGGGACGGCGCCTTGGCTATTTGTTTTTCAAAAATTGTTCACCTTCGCACCCTGTTTCACCGTTTTCGTACCGGCTTACTTCCAACCTCACTCAGTCATTCTAGTTCGACCTTTTATTTTTTGTAAAAGCGCGTCACAATCACTTTACTCTGAATAGACATAGACGTGACAACCCCAGTTGTTGATTGGCTGACAAAGTGTTGACATTTATCATACGTAATGTTTCTTCGATTCAAATTTAACGCATGATTTCGCGAGTCATAATAAAGCTTTTCTTTTCTGTATAACGTAGAGAAATTTCAACAATGAAACCACGTGGGAGATTGTAAACAAAAATTCTTGTACTTTTCCTTTTCTTACTAACTCATTCTAAACGAGTCTAGCGAAACTCGCGAATAAATGGGAATTGGCGTGAAAGCGAGACTTGGAAGAATGTGCAAAGGAAAATTTTTTTTCGCAACAAAAAAAGCTCTCGTCAAAAGCTGAAAAAACAAAAGCTCATCGCGATATCCAACGAGCGATTTTCATTCGCGAAAGGAAATCGTCAAAGAGGGAGACGTACTTTATAAAAAGTGAAAAATTTCATTACAAAACGACAAGGCATGAAAAAACGTAAAATTTGATAATAAAACATAAATAAAAGAAAAAATGATGGAAAAGGTAATTTCAAAATTTCCAGTCACGCGAATTCACTGGCTGTAATTTCTTGACCATTCACGGACAATCTTCGTACTCAAAGTGACCGACATTTCCCTGCTGTACGTTCGCCAAAGCACGTGTATAGATCCCTATCAGGAAGCACCTGTTCCCATCTGACGGATTACCACCGCAGCATTCTAATTAAGGATGGGATCCATCCGAGGGTTAATTTCCAGCGGAACTAAAGTAAAATCACAAATGATTTAGTATTCGGGATCTCAATCAAAACTCGTACCTCTTATCTAGCATTATAATCGTAATTGCACGTGATTTGTTTTCCCGAACTTCTCAATGCTATACATACCATACGTAACTATAGATATGTACATAAAGACAGGGTGAAACGCACTGTAGCATATAGAGACAGGATTAATATTTATCAGGGAATAAAATTTAATTCATAAATCTACAGAACTACCATACTGACTGTTCTGTCCGATCGACCCTGCCAGTCATTTACAATTATTACTGCAGAACGATCCTGATGGTCGTAATCGGCTCATGCCCATGGCGCATTCATTAACGATATTGAAAGCACTAATCTTTTTAATAATTTTCAATAAGTATATCGAATAAATTGAATTTAGTGATTTTTCCAACGAATAACATTTAAGCCTGTAAAGCGATTATTTTAATAATTATCCTTTATGAGAGTGTAAGGGCCATTTGTACATTTGACAAGCATAGATACTGGTCGCACGTAATTTTTTATGCGTATAGAAGATCACTGATGAGTATCGATATAGGGTTTAATAAATTTAATGACGAAGTGCTTTACATAATGAGTAGCTTTTCGCCGTCTCTTTGATGTGGCTCTTTTTGTATGACGGCAGCCGTTTCGGAGTTAATCTAACGACTAGCTATACTCATATATATATATATATATATATATATATATATATAATATTTATATATATATATATAATATTTATATATACATATATATGTTATCCTTAGACCTTAGAACTGCTTTGCTTCTGTTAGGTTGGAACCACGGAATTTCCGCGGTGTCAGAATAGCTACTCTGCTGTTTTCCCAAAGGAAATTGTGGGAATCCGACATCTGCCAAGTGCAGATAGTCAGCCATCTTGGTACGCCTAGTTTGTCAAATTCACGTGGCGCTTTGGGTCGTATAACGAACTCTTTGGATACATGGTACGTGATACATGAGAGATTTTATATTGCAGGGATGCCGTGGATCCGATGAAGGATAAAAAGAGGGAAGTCGCGGAAGAGAAGAGATAAAAAGATTGTGCCTGAGAAGAGGAAGGAAGAAGGAAGGCTAAACCGGAAGTAAGACCCGAGTGCAAAAATTTCTACGAGGATGAAATAAGTTGAAGCTAAATTCGTTATAATTAAACGAGACGGATAAAACAGTGTAAGGTCTTGTTAAGCACGAGCAATTATGTCTAATTACAGTAGAAGCTATTTTCATTAATGCCACCACTTGTTCTCTCGATTCAGGTGGTTCGCTGAGTTTCCGATGCGCCGTCGTCGTCCGTCGTCGAAATGCCTCTTCAGAAATACAGCGGCGTCCCGTAGCTACCGAAGCTCCGGCTTTATGCAACCGCAGGATCCTACGGAGTGAATCGTGAGAACGTTTCAAGTGGGACCATAGCCGGGATTTCCGTTGGCTTGTTAAAACATTATGATAAATGGTTAAGTTTCATCTAAAATTTAAAGCGGTCGCCACTCTCGAGGTAGATCGTATTTTTGTTTTGTTATTTAAAAATTTTCTTACCGTCTCCGCAATCTCCTTTGGGTTTTTCATTATTTTTGTCGGTTCTGCGCATGACCACTGCGCAGACTGAAATTTTTCATTGTACAATTCTATATTGTACTTTTTCATTGTTTAATTGTTCTTCTTTCTTTCCTTTTCAGTAATTCCTTCGCTCCCACTGGCATCTTTACTCGTTAACCTCTTTGAAGGCTTCGCTACTTTTCCTGCCAGCGCCAGATTCTTCTTGCTGCTCACTCATTGCTGCACCGGATGCATAATTTATAGCTGTTGCTCGTTTATTTCGCGTTGAATATTCGATTGATTTATTACTAAGCGCTGGATAGGTATATTTTAAGTACCTGCATGCGTACCTAGTCATACCTTAAGCTTTGTGTAATCCTAAAACTAGGGAATGGGTGGCATAGTCGGCGAGGGGGTAGTGCGGAGGAGGGAGGTGAAGCAAGAGTTGCAATTGTTAATTTAATTGATGAAATATTAATCATACGAATTCACCTAGTGCGCAGTTCAAGCTTCGTTCTCATTAAAACGTATTGCTGATGCTGCTCTTTGCTAATGTTTCGCAATAAGGTTGGAATATACGTGGCGAGTCAGAGTACACGTGCAGAGAAGCGTGGATGGTGAAAATAAAAAATAATAATAAAAAGATTGTAAAAAGGTATTTAAAAAAAAGGAAAAATGTATGAAATCCGGGCCGACGGGCCATTTCGAAGCAGCAGCAATGAAAAGGACGATGTGCACGCGACATTGCAGCAATATTTATACTCGGTAATATAACCAGCCATTCGTTTAGTTTTGCACTCTAGTTAACTTATACCTGCACTGTACTGACCTCGTGTTATTTCGTTATTGCGTAACGGCGAGATAACATATTTTTAAATAGAACTTTTGGACTCTGTTAACCTCAAACAATTGTTCGCTAAATGGAAACTCGCTTCGTTAAATGGAAACTGTGGAAGATGTGTTTAATGGTAATTTTTTAATAACGATTGTTCAGTGTAGTTTGATTGTGAATAATCGGGTAACGAGGTGAAGTTGGTCACGGATGTAGTGTTTGAGGCTGTGGCTGATGTCGACGATGAAAATTGTATCATGACAATGACGGTTGTGACGGTTGATATTAGAAGCTGTAAAAAAGGTGGATTAGTATTTGAATAATTTATTTTTCTTTTTTTTTTTCTTTCTTCTTAGTACCGAAAGGAATTCACGCAAAGTGGCAGCCTTTCCTAGACCCACGTCGAAATGGATCGGTATCGTTTCCACCTGCCCGACGAAAATGTCGACCTGTATTTTCGAAAATTGAAACTGCTCGTATTTTTTAAATATCTTTTACGGGGACTGTGCACCGGAGTGGAACTCTAGTTTCATTCAATATTCAATTCAGAAGCAGGTTCTGGATTGATTCCATGCATAACCAGAGCCATAGCCAATATCCAGGTATACTTACACTCCTATTAAAGTCTTTGGATGCTCGTCCACTATTTACTGCCAAGAGCGCCGTTCGGGTCTGCCAACTCTGCAAAATGTAAAAATTGGAATTTAATGTATGTAATAGCCATTCCGGTTGGATTAGCCGAAGGGAAAGTAATAGGATTATGATTTTTATTTCTCACTAGAATTGTATTCTTAAAAGTGCAGCCAGGTGGGTGAGACAACAATGGATCTCCGAAGATGGATACAAAACAGTTAATGGATGCTGGAAATTGATTTTAGAAGAAAGTTATCGTTAAAATAAACGTCAAAAAAAATTCCCTGAGAAATTTCGAAAATTTCACTGGACCCAGATGCCTGACTATGAAGGTGAGCCATTCTGTTCCCCTCTGCAAGATGTCCAATATCGCTAAATCTTGATGAAAAAATTTCTTTATGCTTACAGAAATCAAAATTCGAATGGGAAAAGCAGTTTCGCAAAATTTTCCAGTAACTTTTTCTCTCGACAGTATGAATATCCTTAGGCAGTAAAAAATAAAAGTTGCCAGTACCAAGAGGAATGAAAGTAGACCGTAGAGACTAGTTTAAATAGTCCAGAAGGATCTATTAGATATGAAGGTCGGTACCCCAGGTGTATAATTACCCGGATAGGAAAAAGCGTTCTAAGTCTTATTAAAATTCCTAGGGGATGGCCGACTCCTGTTCAAGTAGCTGGAGGTTCCCCAGGACCAGGAGAGTCTCCGGGGTTATTTCAGGGAGTCCCCGACTAAACGGAATGGATTGAGAAGAATGCAAGTGGTAGTTCCTCTTTCCGTGGTCTCCTTCCTTTTGTCCAGTGGCATTCGAAACTTCCTCTTCTTTTCCACTTCTGGATATAGAAATACCTCTATACGTATCTGTATGTACATTATATCTCTCTTTCACCTTCCACCGTCCCAACGTCCACGTCTCGCTTCCTCTCGTTCCAACCACTTCTCATGGCCGTTCCTACGTCGAATTCAAGGTGAACCTATTCATTCGTTTCCATTTATAGATCGGATACCTATCGATTCTTATTCACCACCGATGATCTTCCGTCCTAGGTCCCACCAAGCTGCGGTATTTTCTCCCAGAGCGGAAATCCGCTCTGCATCCGTACAATGGACCATGCTGCCGATTGATAGGGACGTTATGGTCATGGATTTGCGAGTCTGGCTATTGACACTCAGGATAACGTATCGAGGAACAATATGGGTCACCAAGTCAGCCAACCTAGTGGCTAGTTCGTGGACGTTTGCACTTTGGGTTTCATCGATATCGAATATTACCCAGTAGTCGTGATTACTTGAAAAGCCACTTTAATTCGCGGAGGATTGAAAATGGTGCGGCTGGTTAAAATTGATTTTTGAATTTATAGAGCCGTCGCGACGCTCCGGCAAGAAACTCGGAGATGGAAAATTATTGTAATGCATTTAACTGGGATAGGACGAGATTAAGGTATTTTATATTAAACTAACCTCCCTTACTGCGCTCTCTGCTTGATCGCAGACGTGGAGCAACGGCAGAAATAACACGGCTAACGAATTGCTGACAATTAAGAGTCTCTTCATATTTGCAGGATGGCCCGAGAGTATATCAGAAAACAAGGAGTGGATTACTAGTATTCCGCATATCCGTGCGTTCCAGAATATCGACATTAATTGAACTCGATATATCGAATCCATATTGTTGACCAGAGCTTCGATATTTATGTATCGATACATCAATTCCAATATTTGATGACTGTTATCGTTTTTGGTACCAACGTGGGACGGCCGTTTTGAAAAATATTTCAGGGTGTCAGTATCTGCCGCATTCTTAACGGCTCCTCTTCTTGCATTCTGAAAGGAAAATACAGCTTGGTAAATGATTCAGCTGTTGGTTACGGATGGATGATTGCGACACTTCCGGCATTGCTTAATTATTATCTTTTTCCTGATTATGAGTGGCTGCTATCTGAAACGAGGTATGGGTCCATCGAAGATTTATTGGTCCGGCTATAGCAGGATACTTACGGCAAACTGTTTCAGGGTCTTCAGGATGTCGAAGAGGGATGCACGGATGAAATAGGATACGCGGAGGATACCAGGGGAACGAAACTGGCCAATAAGAGGGCAGAGGGGAATGGAAATAGCAAGGGAACGAGAGAATGAAGGAAGAGGAGGATTAGCCTTCCTTTCCACCTGTCTTCATTGTTCCCCGAGCTCAAGTGGCTTTCGCGCTAATACCCTTAACGGATCAAAATCGATTTCCTATTGGTAGAATTCGTGGGAGTGGAAAAAAGGATAATCGAAGCTACGGTAATCCAGCTTCCCTCGTCTCCTATCTGAGAGAGTGAGCTCATTTATGGCGCATCTTCATCGTACACTTTCTTCGATGGTACCCATGTATATATAGATTGGTATGCTCAAGCTAGCCACTTAGGCGTAGACGTAAGCCAGGCAATTATTATAAGAGGGAAAGTAAATAGGAATAATACTTTATCGATAATTACTTTGTAACCGAGAAATTCAATGATTCGATATAAAGGAGCCTTTTTTGCTTCCTGGGATTTTATCGTTGAGGATGCTCCAGACTTTGTACATTTTTTTATATCCATCTGTACCGGCGACAGTCGGCGATTAAATTTCATCATGGTATCTGAATATCCAATATGGCTGTTGCCACGGTGAGTAACATTCGGAGAGATCTTGTTCGATTTAACGTTAATTAAACTCTCGACGCCATTCAATACCGGCATAATCTCCCGAGATTGAAAATAAGAGTAGTAAGGTACAGCAGAAACGTTAACTTGCTGATCCTTCGGATTTTCACTCCGTGTCGACGCCATTATCTTCTGGCTTATGTGATCGTTGATATTCTTTAAGGCCAGCTTCACGCAGTAGGCGAGAGCAGCGTAATGAATCTGATTGAAAAAAAAAAAAATTAGTTAATTAGTCCAGTAAATTTTCAATCGCATCACGTAACGCTGCACCGTTCAGATAGAATAGTAGTTTTTAATTATCCCATGGCGGGACTCATGAATTTTTGGTAATTATACAAAATTAGCAGTAATTATTATAGCGATTGGTTATTTGACTTGTGAAATTGAATTTCATCTAATTGCAGTAACTTTAATTCAATTTTTCTTAACAGTTACCATGACGACGTCGGTTATAAGATTGGCCCATAGGAGAAGCCCGTGTCCCAAAATTTCTACTGGCTTATACTCCGCGCGATCAACGGTCCAGTTGGTTGCTTCCAGAATTCGAAGAATTAGGAAAATCGGAAAAGCCAAGCAATGCGGCATATACGATTTTTTCGTACAATACGAAGATCCCATCGACTCGAGAATGACGTTTGCGCTGTTTATAGAACGCAGCAGGAGCTTTCGGCGAATCCAGCATGCGACTAATACCGTAAGGCGAACGCTCAATTGTGTAATCAATTGTACGTCATTCAAGGTATTAATATTTTGCTGGTGAATTATTTGCCCCTTAATTCATAATTAGGATTTATTATATTAAAATTGCATACAATTTTTTAAGACACTCCAAACTGCTTACCTGCAGAAATTTTTGAAGCAATATAACCTCACCGGTGGTCAAGTAGTACAAAATGGAAATGATCGAGAAGATAGTCAATAAATTATTGATCATATTGAAGGACAGTCCCAACAGTAAGTATTTTCCTTTCTCGTCATTTAATAACACTCCCGTCATAATGGATTGCATAACAATCGTTTTCAATGGCTGCTTCATGTCGTACCTGCCAATGGCTCTCTTTTGAATTGAAATATGACATATTTAAATACTCAATTTATCGACACTAATTTACACTAATAAATTCTCAGTTTATCGATACTAATAGCAATAAGAATCGGTTGGTTGAATTTATCCGTGTTTATTTACTGTATTGGTTTTATTAGTAAAAAATATATGCATATAGATATAATGCGTGTGCCGCGCTATCAAAGCGGACAAACGACCTGGAAATTTTGGATCTGCCACTGCGGTAGTAAAGTATACGTCATTCATTTAACGCTAATGTTTATTAATTAATAGCAGCCCAGTGGTAGCAGCCAGCTATCCGTGCGGGTCGGAGCTCCTGGGATCACGGAGGAGGATAACCGCATTGGCGTAACTAGAGGTTCCGGAATCAACGGCAGGAAAATCGTACGTGTAAAATGGCAGCGGGAATGCATTTGCATTTACATTCGGGATATTAAGTTGCGGCTCACGCTATTTTTACTGGCGATCATAGCGAGGACCATCAGTATGCGATGCGCCTGGGGCTTCATAGTTTTATGGATAACGTCCCGGTAGGGACCGGGGAAACTTTCCACTTGGAAAAAAGACTGGAGGGAAGAAGAGGGTTGCACGAAAAAAAAGGAGGAAAAAAGTCTCCGTGACTCTTAGGACAGTGTACCTACTGGGAATATGAGAAAATTTTTCGAGTAGCATCTTTTATCATATATTATAATATTATACACTGGTAACACACTTCTGATCGTACCGTATAGAGCGTCCAGATGAATTTTCGAAGCAGATGGTAATTTTGGAAAGGTTAAAAACAATTTTATCTAATGTTTGATTTAAATATCTCTGTTTTTTAACCCATGGGTATCAGTGGCACGGTGAAAATTGTATTGGGAAAGCGAGTAAAACAAAGAGTCATAAATTAATTGCACGCGTGCTGCACGCGTTATTTATGCGAACCCCTGGGGTTCGCATGGGAGATTATACTTATAGCCGTGCAGTTATCATAGTTTAGTGTGCGAACTCTATTTGCTTACAGCCGTGGCCATTTGTCACGTGGCTTTTGAGCATCCTGACCATCTAATGGCCGTCCTGGGGACGAGAACTGGCGAGTGTCACATTTAGAAAAAAACGTACCTGGACGATCGATGCAGTTATATCACCTTGTGACTTTTCTTCTCTCGGTCACGTGCGTTGCGCTTTAGGTTTTTTTGCCTTTCTTGGATAACGGACCCTTAGGGATGTACGATGCTTATTAGATAAACGGATGGAGAAGGAAATTTTTTCTTCGATAGAAAAATTTTTATTTTCTAAGATTCCACTTGCAATGCTAGTATTCGGTATTACTTTGATAAAAAAAAACAAAAATTGATTTCTTTGATCAGAAAATTTAATTCAATAAACTTTATGCTTCTTCGTGTAATTCTTTTATGCGCGTTGGAGACCATCAGAGAATTTAGGTACTTTGTCGTTTTAACAGAGCATTCAGTTGGAATTGAGGTCGTAATGTAGAATAGAAATTCTTGTGAATTATATTACCAAGTTTTATGTACAATTTCTTTTAAGGCGTCTAGTTTAAGAAAATAAGGCCATCTTGGATTTAGTATTAGCCAGTAAAAGAACTTGGAACGATATTTAGAGGATTTCAGGTACTTCTGATTACCGACTGAGGGATGGGTACAGTACGTGGAAAAAATGCTATTAAAATTTTATAAGCGTCTACGTCGTTTATGTCATCGAAAACTTACCAGATCGGCTGTACTTTCCGTGCGACTTGCGCGATCCATTTAACGGATCTATATCAACATTAATGTATATATATAATTGCGTGGATTTTTGAAAACAATTTTTATCGGTTTTTGACAATCATCAAACAATTGTTTGAGACGCTCGTTAAATGATGCGCGAATAATTTAATTTTGTATGGTAAACATTGCGTATAGACGCGTCAAGTCCCTAGGGCGCCGGAAACGTCACTGGATAAACTCGCTCGAAATGGCTAGAATTTTGCATGGTGCCACAAAGCTCGTCTTTTATTCATGCCGCAAATTGTTGGCTCCGTTCAGACCGAAGTGAACGGTAAATACGACTAGCTCCGGGACGATGGAAACCAGCCGGAAGATTCGGTTCTAGTAAGTATAGGAGAAAATAGTCTGACGCTTTTGCGTAATAGTCAACCGTTACGACCGCTTATGACAAGTGGCCTGACAAGTTGTTACGAATGACGTAATTTTTGTAGCTCTACCATACCGACAGATACTCACTCACTGTCAGATTTCAAGGCAATACGATTGTTGAGTATAACAGTTGATGCATATTTGATATTTAGATTCAATTTATTATATACATTTATATAAATTATACCTACACTTGGTTACAGTAGTACATTTGTTTGGCATTTATCACGTGAGTCGTTTGCATTATTTCTAGATGAAACATATATGAAAACAATTAACTACTTGAAGTAATTAATTTGATTGATTGTTATTTTCACGGAATGATGGGATAATAGGTTCGATCCCTTTGTTTTTACGACAATGGACCACTTGTAAGTATACAATTAAATTCGTTAGCATTAACCTAGATTCCGAAGGCGTGATAGTTGTATCTAAAATGCATTGGAATGACAATGGCAAGTAAAGTTTTGATAGTCGGAATAACAAAATTCGTTCCGCTTCTAGAACGACTCTAGAAGATTGGTGAATAGATAGAAACAAAGAGAGGACAGAAGGAATCTCAAAAAGTATGAATAACAGGAAAATGCATAAACTCTCATACCCCTTCTATCAGACCGCCAGATGTTTTGAGGGTTCCGAAGCAATCGAAACTCTCAAAACCAGATGCACATGCACTCGTAACGTCGCCATTTTTGTCTGAGTTACATGTATGCAGGCCGGCACGTACGAAGAAACTGTTACTCCAATATATTTTTTGCGATAGAACTGCTTGTGGAACACTCGCGAAAATATGTAAAAATATACGAGCATATACGCGCAAATATCCATATGCCAAATTCAAATGTGGCGCCAATATTCGTGACACGTGACTATGAGAAGTTGTGAAGTAAAAAAATGTCGCAAGGCACGCGACTGTTACTTCATTAACGTTCTGTTCATTATTCATGGTGTCTGGCTTTTTCTTCACCTTATTAGTGACGTGTCCACGGTCTTTGCCGTAGCTCCATCTGTTGTAAAATCTTTTATCGAAACTTCTAGAAAGTGTCTATATTACCAAGCCAGCAGACTGTATCGCTATCTACCGGTAGTTATCGCAAGGATTAACCTTGCACGAGGTATGTAACTGTCTAGGATCTCAGTTACTCATGTGATTTACGCAGTGGTAGTGGACTGATAGCAGTAGTCGGGTTTCTGTTAACCACCTTAGGCATCGTGCTTTATACCTGTATATATATTATCCCCCAGGTAGACATAGGTTAGGTATATCCGTACTGGGCGACAATAGCGGTACGCCTTAGGTTCCGCGAGTGTTCTAGAACGATTTGAACTTCCAGTGCACAAACCGTGGCTCAGACAGTTTGTATACTTCCTTAGGGAAGGAAACCATTGCGAGTCGCAACGCAAATTCCGATGGCTCTATCGATAGAATTCCGGAGTTCCGGTTTGAGAGGATGCCATCTGGAAATGGATACTAGAGGACTTGAGAGTAGATAGGTGCTTGTTATCTCCAGAGACAGTCAACGTGCGGATCGTGGAGATGCCATCTTGGATTATTTGAATACCTGTGGACGTTAATGTGCCGTGGCAAGACTTTTGTGCTCGAATCTGGGATACGTCGATGATTAAGGTCAGTGTTGATTTTTTCTAAAAGAAAAACAGACAATGGTGCATCGCCCAATGGAAAGTCGAGATAAAATTGAAATTGGTACTTGGTGCTTATTGCGAACGAAATATCAGGAAAGTTTAATGTGAATTGGACGTTTCGATTTTTTATTTTCCCAAATTACCAAAGTTCTTCGTGGTTAACCTCTCTGCTGTTTCTCGCGGTATTGTTTTTTTTTTTTTTTTTTTATAGTTAGCCGGTAATTTACTGACTATCTCTCTCTCTCTCGCTTTTACTCTTTTACCGTATACTCCTTTTCATTGCCGTAGAAACTGGTTTGGGACGGATTGGCAATTAAGCAATGTCGCTCGTAATTTGCCCACGCGAATCTCCCAGGCTCCTTTTCGAAAGCTTACTAGCTTCAGTAGGAAAGCCTACTGTTTACACAGAGAATCATCCTGCTATTCTGCCTCTTATTCTCCAGGCTATTCCCTCGTAAAATTCACCCTTCGAATTTCCGACCTTTGACCTCATCCTTCCCTAACCACTACTACCGTCATCCGAATGGGGCTACATAAGTCTTTCATAGGGTAACGTTTTAAGGCACCCTTTGTCCCCGGAATGATTTCGAGAATGTAAAAGCCGACGAGAGCTACGCGATGGGGCGGTTCGTTGAAACTACCCCGGGTGAATCACAGCATTTTATACATATAGAAAATCTCTTACCGTAGAACAAAGAATTAGGTAAAATCAATGAGCAATAAAAGAAAAAATTGTTAGGAGGGGGATGGAAGTTCATCGAATAGATGAAATCACTAAAATTCTCTGTGACATTACCTCAATTCGCGAAAGCGGTGACTTTAACGATTCTTATGATATACCGATATCACACTGCACTTAAACCCCGGTACTCCGTCTATTTTCTCCATTGGTTATCAACGGAATTGCTCGACCTTTTTTTTTTTGTTTTACGAATCTCGTAAAATCTTCTATTACTATTTATTAGAGTCGGGATTCGGCTCGACCTACTTTTTTTTTCCTTCACATGACTTAAGGGGGTGCGATAGCTCCGATACGTTATCACGAAATTATCGCACGCGACCCCTGCAGACATTTCGCGTGTCCAGCTGCACTTAATATCGTGTGAAAAGCAACTTTAACAGATTCCATTATACTCGAGCGTATACATACGTATGTGAGATTTAATTATTTTTCATGTGGTTCTGCGATAACCGGCATTTTCTAGAGAATCGTATAAGGGCTGAGGTACCTTCGTCCAACTAATTGAGGATAATCACGATAAATTCTAAGAAGCGTTTTCCGCAAAATTACCCTCCCTCCATCACTTTCTTAACCTCCCCTCCTACCTTCACGTCATTCGCAACCTTCCCCTACGTACGCCGGCTGCCGCAAATTAGATGCATAATATTCGCGGCAGCCGCCAACGGGTGCGGAGGACTGCTCGTAGATAATAATTAGCCAAGACCATTGTGTCGAGCTACGGGATCCACGTAATTAGAAGTGCAACTTTGGTCTTGGCCACTTGGTTAATGCACGGCCGGGCGGCTGCAGTCTCTAGATTGTTGCACGAAAGTCGGCATTCCTTGAATTATTTCTTAGTTAAGTTTCGAGCATGAAACTCGGTCCCTCTTGTTTAAGACGAAATTAAATATTTTTTAGGGATACGCGTTTCCTATTAGTGTCTAGTGTATTTGTGATGTAAAATGAAAGTTTTTATAGAATTTATTAGGGAATAATTGAATTTTTTTTTTATAGTTACTAGATATGGTTATTTCGACATTTGGATAACGAGCCTGGATCGGACTTGAAGATTAAAAGTACGGCTTTAGCGAAAGGATGATAATCATGAAGACGAATATCTGATAACATCAATGGAGAATTTAAAAGTAATAAAAAATTGTCCATTCAAGCCATCCAATTTTCCAAGACTTTTTCATCCGTAAAAATTCTAAGCTATGTGAACTTGGCACCCGACTTTGGAAAATCAAATTTTTTTTTATAGACTTATAGATTTAGGTATGTAGTTGTTTGTAGTACCAATTTTTTCGTTTGTAGTAGACCCAAAAAAAAGTTGTAGCATCATAAAAAAAGCCCATCCACCGACCTTGAAAAAAATAAAATCTAATCACTGATTCCTGCAGAGAACCGTTTGTAGTTGATTGTAGTGAAAGAATTTCCGTTTGTAGTAGCATAGAAAAAAAGTTAGACTTTTTTTTTTTCTTCAAGATATTTGTAGTCGTATATAAGTAGTAGCTTCGTTTCGTTTGTAGTTGTTTGTAATGACATTCTTTTGTTTGTAGTTACTACAAACAACTACAAACGAAACGAAGCTACTACTTATATACGACTACAAATAACTTGAA